AACCCCTCTGAGCCTTAGCGCCCTTACTTGAAAACTAGTAATAATAATAGTGCCTATTTCATGGGGTACTTGTGAAGACTGAATAGCTTCCTATAAACTAATGCAAACAGAACAATGCCTGGCCCCTAGCAGCAGTGCAGAAGGATTAGATACAACTGTGAGAGCTGAGTGCCTCATTCCAGGAGTTTTTATTTTAAAAACTATTATAACTGCCTTCTGAAAGCACAAACCAGACACCCTTTGACGGTGCCCTGATTCCTCAAGATCACTGTTACCAATGTCAATTGTTAGAGCGTGCAGGCCTCAGAGACCACTGGGAGGACAATATGCCCCTCCACAAATGTCCCCATGTTTGTCCTGGAGCTGTTTGGCTCTGCAGGGTTTCTTGAGTTATATATCTAAATACACATGCACATGCATTGGGTACAGGTCACTAGCTTGTTTCTTTGTTTCCTCCCTTTTAGCCGGCCACCAAGGTACCTCACCGTTCCCTTTAGATTTGTAGGCTACGTCTGGCAATCCGACAACCACCTGGATCCGTGTAAAATCAGAGCAAGCAGGCCCAAGAGTATGAGTGGACTGCGCAGCACCTGCTCTGAAGGGGCAGGGCCCCGCCTCTGAAAGCTCCAGAGAGTTGAGCACCACACACAGGGCTGCTGCTTAGTGAAGTGTGGTCCTATCAGCTTGCTCACAGGAGGGCCTCCAGCCCTCTTTCAGCTAGGGAGGGAGGGAGGGGTGTAAATGGCCTCACATCAGGGCCCCCACCCAGTGCCAGGCAGGGGTGGGGGGGCCTCGCCCAACTGCTGCAGGGGCTGAGCTGCAGGGTAAGCAAGTAAAGACGGCAGGAGAGTGGGTGTGAATCCTGAGAGAGTAACAGTGGTTCTGCTGGTGGTGTTTTAAATGTTCTCAGAATGAAGCTCTCACACATGCAAAAGGAGAACTGGGAGAAGTAAAAAAGGTCAGGACAGCAACACAGCAGGAACCTCAGACAGCAGGAACCTCAGTACTGGGGAGACCAAGAATGAACATCCATCTATTTCCTTTAAAAACATAATATGTCTTTTAAGCAACATAATAACTCCACAACAAATTTAAAGGTTGCCTACACTACCATCAATAACACCACCAGGTCCCAATCCTACAGAAATGCCAGCTCCTCTGCACCAAGACATACACCAGAGTCCACTGCTGCACAGCTGCTAAAAGAAAGGTGCCATAGCTGACCACACCTTGGAATACCATGCAGCCAGGAAAAAGAATGAAGACGCCTTGTTAAGCAAACACACAGAACAAAAGCCTGAGGTAGAATGTGTTTCGTAGGATCCTATATTTGTATTTTGTAAATGTCTATGTGGATGCACACACGCACGCATACATGCAAATCATTGAAAGGGTCTGGAAAAAGACACACCAACACAGGGCAACAGCGGTTAGCTGGGGGAGGGGAAGGCTTGCATATTCTGTCCACACACTTCTGCATTGTGTGAAGAGTTTCATAACTAGGCCCACTGGCTGCCTGGGACTCAGGGGGAGCAGCCAAAGTGCTGGTCCTCTGCCAGCCTGGCTCTGCCCTGGGAGGAAGGGTTCCTAGCCACTCACCCTGCACTCTGACAGGCTGCCTTCCCAGGGCAGCTGCACCAGGAAGCACCTGCGAGGGGTCCCCACAAGCAGCGGGCTTGGAAACAATCCAGAGTTTGTGTTCGGGGAGGGGACCTAAAAACCCTGCCCCAATAATCTCACTCATGATCCAATCCCCTGTGCAGTGGGTAAAGATAAATTTCAGACCAACCTTGCCCAAATTATCACAGGAAATGGTTGAGAGAATGCAATCTTACTCTACTTCCCGCCCCCAACCCCAAACAGGGCCAGGTGACCAGGAACATCTCACAGGCTCTCAGGAGGGAGGGGCCATGCACTGCACAGTGCCCACTTTTCTGGCCAGGCCCCTAGAGCTGCTGAAATGGGCCAAGCCCCAGCAGTGTGCAAGGAGATGTTCTGGCTCCTGGCGATGGAGGGAAAACAGAGCACAGAGGCATTCTGAAAACAATTCTTTGTGGGAACAAATAAGTAGGAACGTATTTAGGGCATCTCAGCCAAGAAAGACTGAGCGACCATTCTGCTGGGGGCCTGCCAAGCCCCACCACTCTGGACAACAAACAGGAATCTCCAGAGGCAGGACCGGGCCACCTGGGGTGGGGGGGAGCGGCGGGGGGGAGAGGGGTCTGCCCTCAGAGGGCCCCAGACCTTTCCTTAGGCAAGTCCTCCAATTTTCACATTAAAGCCCTTCAGACTCCAAAAAAATCTGCTCCTAGTCTTGCTACTCCCCAAAGAGAGTCTTAGTACACTTCCCAGGTCTGGGCTGCGAAGTTCTGATCCAACAAATAATACGTGGCTTGAGTTGTCGTAAAGACATTTGTGTCTTTGTTTTGCTTTATCACGCATTTGCTATAACATCAACAATTACCTAACTGTGGCAGGGGGTAATCAGCCCCCAGGATTACTACTGGGGAACGGAAGTGGGGGACCACGCTGCCATACAGTTAACCAGGACAGGAAGCTCCTGGCGTGCAGTTGGTCAGGGTGGGGGTGGGAGATCAGAGCAGCGCCAGGGAAGGCCAAGTTCCCCCCAGAGTCAAAGCTGACCCTTGCACTTCCCAAAGGTTTTCACAAACACAGCCTTCCAGGTCAGGGGAGACATCACCAAGTTGCAGGGAGGTCTGAGGACCCGTCCCTGGTCACAGAGCTAGACAGAGCAAGGTGCCAACTGCCTTCTCGCTAAAGTAGATTAGATATTCACCCCTTGCCATGAAATCGCTATGAGGGGAGGGGATCCCTAGTGGAGTAGAAGGCCTGGCATGACCTGAGCCACGGCCTGCAGACAACCGGAATACACTGCTGGGAGCCCACAAAGCAAACCGCATACACCTCAGGGCCAGGGTCTGCTGCGGGTCTTCTCAGGGTGCCTTGGCCTTTCTGTCACCCTCTGCAGCCTCTCCCTTCTGTGGGCTGCCTCTGTCTCTTCTGTGAGCACCAGTTACTTATACTTTGCACACCTGGGCTTGGGCTGGAAATGCGCTTCCTAGAGCTGCTCTTGGCCAGAGGCCGGTTCTTGGTTCATAATCAGATTCACCTAGGGGACAACTTAAACCGCAGAGCTCAGCTGCAGGTCAGCATCCGGGACCTGGAAATCTGCATTTCCAAGGGCCCAAGGGGAATCTGTGCTCTTCTGACTTGGAGGTCGGCATCCGCTCTGGAGGTAGGCTTCCAGTTTCTGCACACCTGGAGGGCCGGCTCCATGCTCTAACAACAGACACAGCACACTGCAAGCGGAGTGTTGTTTCCATCCTCTTCTGCCCGCCTAGGTTTTCCAGGCACCCCGCAGAGACTGGCTTTCACCCCACTGCGGGAGACGCGGGTTCCCAGAGCCCCTGCCTCAATCCTCTAGCAAAGGGGCCCGCTTAGGGCCCATAGCGCGTGAACCAGCGGGCAAGCGAATCCGGAAGCCATCCCGGGACAGAGACGGCCCCGCCCAGGATAGGGAGCCCCGCCTCTCGGCCAGCCCCTCCGCGACTCGCGAACTCAGCTAGTGGGTGCTGCCGGGTGGGAGACCAAAGTGAAACTGGCTGCAGAAACATTTTCCAACATTACGGTTGCCGCCAACTACCGGCCTTGCCCTGGACCGCGGCCCTCAACCCCAGCCACGCCCCAAGCGCTCACCCCCGCCCTAGTACTCAGGACGCACCTGGTTCCGAACCAAGGTTGGCCCCTCCCCCACAGTCACACCCACCCTTGCAGGTACGTTGCCAAGCTGAACCAACACTCCTACCCTAACCCCACACCCGATCTGAGTTCACACACCCTTAATTCTGACTCGCAAAGCCTAGAAATGGCCTCGCCTTCACCCCTGACCCCACCACCTGCCACGTGGCTGGGGCCAGCCACACCAGGGGACCAGAAACGCAAGGGCAGCCTCCGAAGGGACTGTTCCTCCGATATCCGTTGTTTTTGACACCGGCATTCCTAGGACCGCTCAAGTCCAAATTTACCGAGAAAAAGGGGCCTTTCAGCTCTAGGGTCGTGAAAGCTGCGGTTTTAAGTCAGTTTGTGAACTATCTTACAATGGAGAAGGCTCAACCTTAGGTTACAAGGAAACAGTACAGGTACATAAGTACATATACGGGTTTTGAACCTGCCCCAAATGTGGAAAAGTTAAGTGTGTCACAAAAGAGTTCGCGTGAGCCCAGAGGAAATATACAGTTCTTTAAACCAAACTGGGAGAAGAAGGTTGCCATCTATTAACACGTTTCCACCTTGGTGTTTTAAAAACAAAAAACAACCACAATGAATCAAATACAAGATCCTGAGCCTGCGCGATGGAAAGTGCTGCCCTGGAGTAGAGGGCGGGCGGCGGTCCGCGGCCCCCAGGCTGCCGGCTCCTGCCATCCGCCCCGTACAGGTGCCGCCCGCACGCATCCGGCCCCGGCAGGTGAGAGCGGGGCCGGGAACAGGGCGGCGCAGACCGACTGTCAGTGGGCAGGGCACTCCTTTCGGGAGAAAGCGCCGCCAGGCCGAGGAGCCCCTGGGGTCGGGCGCGCCCCCGCCGGCCGGATGGGCGGGGCTCCCACAATGGGCTGCGGACAGGGAACCGGGACCGCCCCCCTCGTCGGCCGTCGCTGGCTCTGGTTTCGACAAATTAAACCTTAGGGCGCTGGAAAAATTACAGGAAAAGGAGAGCGAAGAATGTGCCGAGTGGCTGGAGGGAACCCTGTCCCCGCTTGAACTTCGCCCGCCGCGCGCCTGGGCCGAGCCGGCCCCTCCCCTTCCGAGCGCGCGCCCGGCCCACGGGGGAGGGGCGGACGAGGGCACCCCCTACCCTGCGGCTCCCGGAGGCGCCGGCCACCCATCTCCCTGAGCGGCACCGCCGCCCCCACCCAGCTCGCCCGCACCTGCCCGCCGCCCCCCGGTCTGGGCGGGGTCCCCGCCCCCAGCCCAGATGACGACATCCGCCCCCGCGGCCCCACCCGAGCGCGCCGGGAGAGGGGGCGTGCCCGGCGGGGGCGCGGTCGCCGGGCGGGCGCCGGCTCCGAGCGCCCGCACCCGCCTCACGCGGCGCGCTGGGCCGATCGCAGGACCCAGCCGCGGGGTAAGGGGCAAGGTCCCAGCGGTTCCTAGCCTGACCGCCCCCTGAGCCTGGCCGGCGGCTCCGGGGGCGTGTCCGGGCGGCTCGCGTTGGCCGGGGTCCGCGCGCTCGGGGCGCCCCACTGACCTGTGTGAGTTCTCAGGTGCGCCTTGAGGTGCGAGGATTTCCCGTAAACTTTCTCGCAGCCAGCGTAGTGGCACTTGTGCTTTCTCTGCGGGGACTCCAGGTCGGCGCGACTTCGGCCCCGCCGGCCCCTTTGTCTGAGGCCGGGCTCGCTGCTCCCCGCGGGCCCCGGCTCCCGCTCGGCCTCCAGCCCCGCCTCGGGCTCGGGCTCGCTCCACGCCGGGCTGAGGGGCGCGGTCGCTGCGCCTTCGCCGCCAGGGGAGGCAGGCTCGGGGGCGGGTGGCGGCGCGGGCGGCAGGCGGCAGGGGGTCCTCGCCTTCCGGGCCGCGGCGCCTTCTCTGCGCTCCGCCGGTGCGGGCGCCGGCGCCTGCTGGTTGAGGTCCGCCAGGATCCGCGCCACCACGAAGAGCGAGGCACTGTCCTTGCCGTCGCGGCGCTCCTCGACGCGGGGCAGCGTGGCGGCGACAGCGGCGGCCGCGCCCTCGGGTCCGGGCTCAGGCCCCTCCCGCGGCCCGTGCACGACCGCGCGACTCGACATGGAAACGAGGCACTCGGCGGCGAAGTGGTCCACATAGGCGGCGGCTGCCATGCTGCGGGCTCCGGCCGGCGGACCGGCGGCACTGCTTGTCGCTGCGAGTCGTCAGCGGCGCATCCGCACCCACGGCCTCCGGAGAGCGGGCTGGGGGCGGGGGCGCGGCGCGCCCTCTCCGCGGGCTGGGCTGGGCGCGCAGCCGCCTCTGCCGTCACCAGCGCGGCTCCGCGTCCGCGAGTCGCCCGCCCAGCCGAGCACGAAAGAGTGAGTGCATGGGGGGCGCAGGAGAGTTGGGACCCGCGCGGCGTCAGGGGCGGCCTATCCTAAGGATGCCGAGCGGCGACGTTAGGGACAACCGCGCCAAGTCGCGGCCGCAGCCTCACCACTCATTGTGGCAGGCGAGACAGCCGCCGTGCGCGCCGCGGCTCGGTGTGGGCGGCCCGGCCCCGGGGGTAGGCGGGGCCGGGGCCACATCTGGACCCGACGTCAGCCCCCAGCCACATCCTGGCGGCGCAGGTTACAGGCGGCGGCCGCCGCCGGGAGCTGCGCGCGCGGAGGGGGCGGGGATCCCGGAGCGCGCACCGGCGGGATAGAGCGGTCGCGCGCCCGCGCCTGGCCAGGGGGCGTGGCCGAGGACAGGGGCGGGCACCATTGGCCCGTGGATATGCTGCAAGGCCAATCCGGGACGCCAAGTGGGGCCTACCCGGCCTCAGGGCTTGCGCGCCCCAATAGGCGTGCCCCCTTGGCCGGCGGGAGGAGGGGCGGAATGGAGCAGGGAGCCGGCACGCTGACGTACGACGTCCGAGGGCGGTGGGCCGGGGCGTGGCTGCGCGGGCTCTTCCTCCCCCGCCCCCCTCGCATCTGGGTCTCCGCCGGGTATTTTCCTGCCAGAGCTTTTGTACTGTGACAGCCTTGAACCCCAGCGTTGGGGCGAGCGCTTGGGAGGGCGCCCTTTTGTCCCGCCAGTCCCCGCCCGTGAGGGGCGCGTGGGTGGGTGCGCCTCCCCGGGGCTCGCCTCCGCTTCTCTCCTCCAGAGCGAGGTTTGCGCGGCGAGGAGGCGTGTCCCCTCTGGCCAGGCGCGGGGCTGCCGGCTTCGCCTGCGGGCGGAGCGACTCCTGCGCACTCCACCGTGGCCGGGCTCCTGGGTGGCCGTGCCCGAGGCTCAGGCCGCTCGCCCCCTCCACGCTCTTCCCCTGCTGAGCTCCAGGCCTTCGGCGCGGCCCGGCAGGGAACGGGGTGACGGGTGGGGCGGGGCTGCTCCCGCAAGAGGGATCGGCACCTCCCCCGGCTGGTCCGGGCGGCCGGGAACCCGAGGCGGGCCGCGCTGCCCTTGAGCCCGGGTCAGCCAGAGCTGGACTGGCGCCAGACCAGTGGTTAACCTGGCAGCATGGGTGACGTGCCCACCACGTCCTGAGCTTGCAGGAGCGAACTACGTGCTGCGGGCGGCCGGCCCCGCGCCCGGGGAACGTGGGCCCCTTCCTCCCCTTCCCCGCCCCAGGCCTGCTGCCAACTTCCAGGCTGCCCCTCTCCCACCGCGGTCGGGGAGGCTTCAAAAGCCTCCAGCAGCGAGGACCCCGCCCACCGCGCCCCACCCACCGCACTGTCTGAGCTTCTTGAAGGAAATTCCCGGCCGCGCCCGGCGCGGTCTCCCCGCCCCGGCCTGCCAGCTTGCTCTTGACTCTCACTGGTGCCCCCACCCTCGCTCACCCCACGGCCCCCGCCATTCTTCTCCAGGCCTAGGCCATCGCCAGAGAGGCCGGTGCGTGACTTCCTACTGCCTCGGAATCGAGCGCAGCAAGCCCCTCTCTGGGCCTTCGCCAGCATCCCCTGACCTGGGGAGACTGACGCCCGAGTCTGCAGCCACTGGTTCATTTGCCTCAATGGAGGTTCGAACGTGTCAACTGCCCTCCCGGGGAGCCTAGAGAGTGAAGGCAGCCTGGGCATTCGACCTCTGTGAACTGAAGAGAGGTCGATGGGGCAAAGTTGTGCTGCGCAGGCCGTTAAGAGCAGTCATTTCTCACCGAATTAATTTGGAGCCTGGGTAGAAAAAACTTCTCTTTCCAGATAACTAAGAGAAAAGGAACCAGGTATTCTGGGTCACTAGTTATGGTGAACTGTGAAGTAGCGTGGACGTTCGAGTACCCCGGGTGTCTTAACTCAAACCCTCAAGTTCCCTCACTGTGGAGCTGTACCCTCCGGAGGACTACACAGCGCACTGTGCTGGGATGGGCTCTGTATGGCCAGCTGGGTCAGGTTCCTCTAAGAGGGTCTCTTCTTGGCAGGAAGTTACCATTCTCCCAGGCAGATTGTGTTGATGACATTTAAGAGATTTGTGTTCTGACTAAATAATGATTCAGAATGTTCCTCCAGGCCCACCACATGTCACAATCACTCACTTTGTTAAGAATGGAGCTGGGTGTACACTAACTTACCAGCCGTACATCCCCTCCCTGTCCATCTCCAGCCAGCAGGATTCTGCCCAGTCTTCAAGGTAATACATCTTTCCGCTTTCTTTTTTCACGGCCCCTGCTGGGACACCCCAGCCTGCACACACATGGTGGGCCTCGTACCAGTGTGCACTGTTCTAGGCATTGGGTGATGCCTATGGACAAGACACCTGCCCTGGATGAGAGCAGGTGAGCCTGGTCAAGGGTCCTCTGCTCTGACACGCACCCTACCCCATCCACAGTACAATACAGTCCACAGGCCTCCCCATGAGTGTGGCCTCCCCACGGGTTTCAGCTGTGCTCGGTGGCATTCTGAATACAAAACTCAGTCCCTTGCCTGGTTTCTCAAGCATTTGATGACTGTTCACTGGAGGAAATCTCAGGCCTAGCATCTTTTATCCCAGCCCCATGCAGAAGTATCTTCCAGATAGACACAGTTCTCTCCCCGGAGAAAATCTCCCCCTAGTGGGTCCATGTTTTCCTTGCTAAATAAGATTTTGACACAGGTGGCTTATGTATGTAAGAGGATGGATGGGGATCAAGTGTCAGATGGAAGGAACAGAATAAAGAAAAGCAGAGTAGGGATGATCAGACCAGAGCAAGTGGGTGGAGATGTGTCTGTGGAGTAAAGAGGCAAAGACTGAAGAGGTGGCTGCCTCTGGAAAAGGTAGTGGGTTGATAGCATGTGTTGACTCTAACTTCTGGAGCCTCCTGAAACAACAGAAAGTTTGTTTGTTGTCAGGCAGAAATTGGCAAGGATGGGGCAAGCAAGGCACAAAGTAACAGCAACACAATTTTTGAAGCTAAGATCCTTTGCAGACCTGAGGAAATGAAACCCTGATATGTAGCTAGGAAGGAAAGCCAAGAACAAACTCTGCAGAGTCTCCAGAAGGTTCACAAATGGATGGCACGAGGTACCTCTGGACGTTCTTGTGAATGGGGGGCTAACATAAAAATAATTGGCTAAAAGTCTGCTTAAGAAGCACTGAGATCCCTAGCTCCCCCACCCACCCCCCTCAATTCTGTAGAGCCTTCCCCATCCTGACAAAAGACTGGATGTTTATTATCTGAAGAAGGTAAAAGGGCGCATCTTGGGCTGGGAAACACCAAGCACAATTAAGGGCAGAGGTGCCATTACAGGAAGAGGGGGATGAAATGAATGTACAGATATAGGATGCTGAGACCACCTCCCAGCTCCCTTTTGGGGATTTCAGAATGCAGGCAGCCAGGAGACTAGAAGGGTCTTCCCAGGGGCATCATCCCAGGCCAAGGAGAACACCTGAACTTTCTGACATCTGCCATTGCCCAACTAAACAGCCAGATCACCCTGACACAGTTAACGAACCCCATGCACGTGTACAGAGCTTCTCATCAGTCTTTCACAGGGAGCCGAAGCTGAGCTGGCATCTCAGGAAAACCCATGTCATGAAATCTAAATCCCCAGTAGATTTTTTTAAAGCAATTTAGAGGAAACAGAGACTAAGCAGAGAGAAGTACAAGTCAACATCACTACCAATAACGTCATCAGAGAAATTAAAGAAAACATTGCAACACATATGAAGAGATTAAATATCTTCATATGTTTAGAGAACAGACAAAGAGACTTCTTGGAAATTTAGAATAAGGTAACAGAAATGGAAAAACCTTCAAGAGAGGGATTGGAAAATAAAGTTGAGGAAATCTCTATGAAAGCAGGAAAAAAGAACCCAAAAACGGGAAAGAAGAGAGAAAAAATAAAAAAGGACTATCCAAAAGTCCATTGATCAAATAATAGGAACCCAAAAAAAGTGGTCAGAGAAAACACAGCGGGGAATCATCAATGAATTAATGCAAGAAAAGTCTCCACAACCGAAGGCCATGTGTTGAAAAGGCCCACAGGGAGGCTAGCACAATGGGAAAAA